TTGCTCACATGACTTTTAAGTTATCTACTATTGCATTTAAGTTTTGAAAGGAAAAACACACAAAATTATCAACTTACTAGCCATTCATTTGTTCATCTGAACTTTTCATTGAGCATGCAAGCACCAGATACTAAAGAGACAAAACCCAAATCCTGTCTGTGTGAGCGGCTGGGTGGGACACCATAGAAGGGATGAGTTTTTAGGATATGTAACTGCTACCTAGGGACAGAAGAAAAGTAGTTCAAGCAAGCAAACAGCTGAACTAAGTATCTGCATATGTATGTTAGGTGGTGGAGGAAGAAATGGAAAGAAAATAATCACAGCTAGGTTGCTTTAACCTATCCAAAGAACAACAGAGCACCTTTAGCAAAATTCTGGGTAGGATGAAAAGTGACAGTGATGATGACAGTAAGTTATTTTTAATGCTGCTACTCTGACATGGGTTAAAAATGTGTATCAGTAGCTCTGGTGAGAAGTAAGGAGGGCTTGATTGAGAACAGTTAATGGAGATGGGAACAGAGGGACAGACTTGAGAAATATACAAGACAGAGGCCAGACAGGATTTTGTCACAGTTTTGCTAGCGAGCGGAGATTCAGTCATTCTTAGACGTGTTGAGTTCTAGGGGGGTTTAGGGCATCCAACAGGATTCTGAAGCTAAGCAGAAGGGTCTACACTGGAAATAAAGATTTAGGAGACATCAGTGTAGGTAGCTGAAGTATCAGAGCACATAAGTTCACACAGAAAAGAAAAAGATACACAGAAAGAAAAAATATATAAGAAAAAGATATATCCAAATACTATATATGTATTAGGAGTTCTTGGTTTATGAGAAGTTTTCTTGATAAAGTATAAGTTTCAAATCTGTCTTATTTACCACTCTACCCTCAATGACTAGAAGAGTACCTGATACGTAATTATCTGTGTGAATACTTTTTTCCTTAGGTCAGGTTATTAAGATTATCTCTATCTTTCATTAACAGAGAATTTAATTCATCTAGCATTAAATGATGACTTAAAGGAAAATTCATTTGTTAAGGAAACTTTAATTAATTTAAAAATTTTATGTCTTTCTTAAATGCCTTACTTTATATGAGGGAAGCGGTATTAGTAGGTGAAGTTTGAGTCTTGTTAAAGGACAGCAATGTCCCACCATCTATGCATCCTTCCTTTAGACAACTTAATTATCCTTTTTCTTTTTCTTTCACGTCCCTAGAGTGCTTTTGTAGCTCTCAGTTGTACTTGTGCCTATTCACCCTTTGGGCCTTTCTCACCCTATAGCCCCCAGGGCTGTCAGGTATCTATGGGGCCTGGGCAAGGGAGAGACAGGGCTGAAGTGCACAGGCACAGTAATTTGAGAGAAGGGTGAAGTAACTTTGTTTATCCATATGAGAGCAGGCATGGTTTCCACCTCCTACTGCAATGCAGCTCTCTGCAACTCTACTGCTCCTATCTGAGAAGGTCCAGCATCTCTGGCTTTAGGACTGTCAGATGCATTCTACTCTTTCTTTTGCATTCTACTCTGCTCCAAAATCCTGACACGCAGCTGCTATTATATCACTGTTTCTATCTGTATTGCACTTATCGCCATTTGAATTTATGTATTTATCTTGATTACTCTTTACCCTCCTAAACTGCTCAAAGGGTGGATTTCATGTCTGGTTTGGCTTACCCACAATAAAACTTCACTTACATATTTCTCACTTGAATAACAAGACCAGTATCTTTGTCTTGTTAGTAAATTTTCATAATAAGAACTAGTCTTGCCAGGTACAATGGCACACACCTATAACCCCCAGTACTCAGGAGGTTGAGGGAGTAGGATTCCAAGTTTGAGATTGGCCTGGATAACTCAATGCAATCCTGTCTCAAAATAAAAAAATAAAAAGAGATGGGGATGTAGTTCAGTGGTACAGCACTTGCCCAGCATGCATGAGAACTTGGGTTCAATTCCTACTTCTGTAGGAGAGAAAAAAGAACTAGTGTTTACTCATTCTTTACTCAACTTATGCTTTGCTTACAGTATTATACAACTATAATTTTTGCACAGTTATTTTAATAGAATATCCTTTTTATAAAGTTAAAGTTAAGATCTATAAATACTGGAGAGTTATCACAATGTTACTTCCTATTTTTCCCATTTGGCCATTTTACTGAATTTTATACCCATTCCAAATCACAGTATCACTGTATCTGTCCTACATTATATAAGAAAAAACCTGGCAGATGAGACGAAACTCAGAATTATCACAACATACCAAAAATGCCCAAAGATACTGATGGATGTGGCTTTACAGAGTATTTGTGTTATCAATGCAAAAAAGAAAATATTTTGCAAGGGGGCAGATTTTGCCTATTAGCCTTAATATAAACACAAACAAAAAGTACACAGAAATTCAGGAACCTGGGGGTGAACAAACCTTAGTGCTACAGAATCCTCAAAATACCCTGAGGCACTAGAATGAGTAACTGACTTCATCCTCTACTATTCTGGAATCTCTGTGGATGACAAAGGTCACATCTGTGATTTACCACTGTACTTTAGTCACAATTCTGCCATGTTAATTCTCTCAGTGTAGGGGCTGACTGACTGCAAAGGATCCTTGAGACCAGAATGACTTGTGCAATTAAATTGTCATCTGTTTAGGCTTTAAGTTGCTACTGAGAATATAAAGATAATCTTTGTTTATCAACTAATTATGTACATTTATAGAATCTTTTGTTTTTCCCTCTAAAAAGTACCATTTAGATTTCAAAATTTTCTTTCAGAAGGTCATATATAAAACTTGTAGTATACAGACAGAAATGGAAGGACTTGTGCTTTGTTTTATGTTATTTTCCAGAGTGGGCAGTCTTTACTGTAGAGATCCAAATATAAAAACAATGTAGAAATGTTAGAAGCAGAACAACAAAAACAAAAAAGACTATAGGTCATATCCAGGTACTATGGTTGGTACAATGGGAACCACACTCTAGAGTTGCCACATCCATTGGCTATTTGCTCTTCCTCCAAAACAGCTGCAATCCAACCACTCCTCCCCTCTACCCTCACATCTTACTACCTGGGTAAAGGCCCTATAATCTCTCAGATGGTCTTCACTGATAGTCACATAAGTGATTCTCTGTTCCCTGAACCTGTGAAGTGTATTCCTGTGTCAGAGCCAGTGCACAGTACTTACTCTTCCCTCTGCCCAGAATATTCTTCCCATATATTCACAGAATGTCAGATTTTTGTTCAAATACTTTCATATTAAAGAGGCTTACCCTAATAGGCTATATAAAATAATCCATTCTTTACTCGCTACAAAGTTAGCTTTATTCTTCTTGGAGGCATTTATTACTAAGATGGCACACATTTATTATTAGTTTCCTCTACTAGAATGTAAACTTTTGGGGTAAAGTTTACTTTTTTTTACTACCTTGAGTATTACTGCACCTTCTGTGTCTGGAACAGTGCTTATAAATGTGTGTTCAATGACAGTTAATATCTGTTCATGTAAATACTGATATAGGGCAATGACAAATTAATAGAACACTTTCCTAGTTAATTGTTAATTGAACAGCATAAGCCTATAATACCCAAAGGAGCATACATTACCATCACAGGATTGCCTTTCTAAATTATATATCCTTAGACCTTACTACAGAACCCATCACATCTTCCCAGGGAAGGTTCTGAGCATGTGTATATTTAAATAGCTCCCTGGGCAATTCTACTTCTTTTTTTATTGTGGGAAAATAAATTTGCCATCTTAATCACTTCCAGGTGACGCTATTTTGCATCCTTATTAAAACTACTGGTATAATATGTCAGTTTAGTAGATGGAAAATGGGAAAATTCATAAGAAGAAAGAAAGGAAGAGAAAGAAAAGTAGAAAGATACCATACAATATTAGAAAGTGTATGCACTCTGGAACTGAATTCAGCTCCACTGCTCTGTGAGACCAGAAGAGTTATTTAACTTTTAGTTTCTACATCTGTAAAATGAAGATAATCTTATATAACTTTTCTCCTCCTAATCCACTGCAGACTTCTCTAAGTTTACTATAAATTGCTAAAATGAAATCAAGTATATAAAGTATCTACTTTGGTGTACATCATAGGCATTAAATTGCAGCCCACTGGAATTATTTTGATTGAAATAAAATTATTCTGGCAGAAAACATATGTATAATCTTGGCATAAAGTGTCTAAAAGAAGGTCTGGGCATAGTGGCACAGGCCTACAATCCCAGTATTTGGGAGGTTGAGGCAAGAGGATTGTTGCAGGTTCGAGGCCAGCCTGGAATAACAGTGAGTTCAGGGCCAGTCTGAACTATATAGCAAGACCCTGTCTCAAAAAACCGCTCCCTCTCAACCCTGTAAAAAAAAAAAAAGTGGCTATATAAATATACTTCCTTTTCCAGAGAGACATTTAAGAATAAACTTTCCTTAGATATGACAAAATTAGAACAGTGATTCTTAAACGTGAGCATGCTTTAGAATTACCTGGAGAACTCCTTAAAATTCAGATTCCCGGGTCCATTCCCACAATTTCTTATTCAATAAGTCTATGGTGGAGCTGGTAATCTGTCATTTCTAACAAGTTCCCAGGGCATGTTGATGCTAATACTGTTGGTCTGGGAATCATACCTTGAGAACCAATGAGTTGAAGTATGCACATCCTGACCAAACCTCTCCACAGATTAATTCCTTTAGTATAATTTTTTAAAACAAAGATCCCAAAATAGTTCACTTTTTAAAAAGTCATAGCCAGCAATGCTTATGATTTTTAGAATATTTTAAAGTCTGATAAAAATCAACTATGGTGTATATACTGAGAAAAGTAACGGAAAAATTTCATGTCACTAATATCCCAGTGATGAATATTCTGAAAATTAAAGACAATTCTTGAACACTCTTTTCTATAGTTAAAAATCTAGATATAAACAAAACATGGCAGTTTTAAAGGAATGAATATAGGAGTAATTTTTGGTAAGTAGATGATACAGAAAAATACTTACAGGTATGGAGACATTCTGTCACAGTAGTTGGCTTGATCAGATACCCTTTACAAATATAGCAGGTAATGTAAGGATTAAAATCTTTCACCAAGTGTTTCCTTTGGGTAGCCATTCGCAGTTAGCTGGCTTTAGTAGTTCAGGCAAAGAGGGGGAGTAAGTGGATGAAAAGTCTGATCCCAGGAGCTGGTGTAGTGGTTCCCAACAGGATGTTCTGAGACATGAGAACTAACATCCAGATTTATCGTGAGATTGCTGACCATCACTCCTTTTGGTGGTTCTGCTTTCCCATTATCTGTTTCCAAAATCATTTTAAAAAGATGAGAAAGAAAGAGTCAAATTCCTCATATAGTACGAATGCCACTGTATTACCAGCAAGTGTCACACAGTCTAAATTGGGTGAGTAGGTAAAAAGAACATATTCTTTACAGTTAACCTGTAAATCTGCAATACTTGAATTCAAAACAATAACAGTTTCATTCAGTACTGGAGCTTCAACTGGCACCTCCATACTGATACTCAAAGCTATTAGCTCCAGTTGTATTTAAACTATCTGTAATGTATTTTAACTGTAGTAATGTATTTTAATGCTTGACTGTTCTTTAGGAGTTCCTGCTAATACTACAAGCTAGAAGATTCCAAACTGAAGTCATTATCCTCCCTATCAAACAGATAGCTATTTCCAATTTGTACCCTACACCCAGTCAATAGACAAATTGAGTTGATGTTCTTTTCTATTCCATGCACGACCATCTTATTTGCATACTACCTGTCCACCTGCAGTCCATCTTATATTTTGGTATCAAGTTTACTCTATCCTATGACATTCGGGTCACCTCAAAGAGTACCAGTGCTCCTACCTGACCAACAGAAAAAAAGCAAGACCTTTAAGCTTCTCAGCATGTCACATAAGACATACCCTGCACAGCTTAACCTTAAAATAACCTTCAACATTTTTCTTTAGGCAAACTGAAGGGATAAATCCCCTCTCATGGCCACTCTACAGCTTCTGTCTTCTATTCAGCAAATGCTTCCTCTCCTCTGCACCCTAGTCATCCCTCAAAACCTTTCTCCAAGGCTATCTTCCGTGTAATCACTTCCTTGTTTTTAACTCCTCGCTCCTATTTTCCTTTTATTTTGCTTTATAAATTCACTCTTTACTTCCTGGGTCAGACTGAAAAATCCTCAAGGGAAATGGCACATTTAGTGGACACATAACCTAACAATGTTACTTTTCTAAGTCTGTTAGTTTTTTAATTGTAAAAATGAAAATAACAGTGTCAGCGTCCTAGTGGGGTGAGGACTAAAAAAGCTAGCGAACACTAAAAACTGAAAAAATGTCATCAAATTTTCTCGCAACTTTTAGCATAGTTGGCTTGCACATTAGGTTACTCTATAAAAGTTTTGGGAGGCCTGGTGTGGTATGAATGACTGTAATCCCAGCTACTCCGAAGGCTGTGGCAGGAGGATTCCAAGCTCCTGCTCAGCCTGGGCAATTTAACAAGAGCCCATCTCAAAGGATGAAAAGGGCTACAGCTCAGTGGCAGAGTACTTGCCTAGTATTCAGGGTGCCCTGGTTCAATTCTCTGTATGGGAGTTTCAGCAAAGTTTTTAGTTTCTTACAGGGCAGCGGACCTCTCAGAAAACGCCTCATGAAAGGTGATAATTTTCCTAAATTCATTCTACAAACAAGAATATTTTTCTACCATAGCTTTAAACTCACAGGCAAGTATACAGTAACCACAAAGGCAAAAAGCATTACTGTATTCCATCAATCTACTGCACCTCTTGCGAACGTGCAGGGAACGGGCTCTGTGTGCAGACACCCGCCCATCGGGAAATGGTGTTGGGGGTGTTACAGAAACCACAACCATCCAGGATATCGGGGTTGTGGCCCCGCGTGACCTTCAGCACAGCATTTACCCTCCTCGCCAGGCAGGGTTTCCGCTCCTCTGCACGCCGGCGCGAACTGCCGCCTTTCCCACAGGTTTGCCCCAAGCTCCAGAGCAAGAGCAAGCCCCCGAAAGAGGAAGCGCGAGGTCCCGGCCAGGGTGGCTGAGCCCGGCGTAGCGCCCTGTCACCGAGCCGGCGAGGGGCGCGGCGGGGCGGCGGAACTTTTCCGCGTCCCCGC